ATTAAGATAAGAGACAATTTTGCAACTTTTGTTTGCTTAATTTTATTGAGAAAACAATGAGTGCAAAAGATTTAAAATCACAAATAAACTACAACTACCGATAATAGGAATTACAAAATTAATTTAGGTTATGAGATGAGTACAAGTTCGCTTTGGCAGGAAGAGAATATCCAAGTCGAACAAAACCAAACCTCGTGTCGGTCCACCCTAGACTGCGAGGATTCCACACAAATCTGTCACACTAAACTAATTTGCAATCAATTGATACATTAGATGCATAAACGAATGGGGGCTGATGTAGATTTATTTCGTCTTACATGAATAAAAACCCATTTTAATCACAGTTCTGACGTACTGTTGCAGACATAACACTCTGACTCTGCAATAATATTTATAGTTAAGCGAGAACTGCGTTATGTCGGCAACGGTACGTTGTAGAACTGTGATTAAAATGTTTTTTTATTCGTCTAAGTAAGACGAAATAAATGAGCCCTCATTCGTTTATGTAGGTATAATGTATCAATTGATTGCAAATTATAGTGTGACGCAGATTTTTGTGGAATCCTGGCAGTCCAGGGTGGACGCCACTAAGCCTGTTAGCGCTAACAGGGGATGATTAGGACGGCCCATCAACCTGAGGGGGTACGTCTTTCTACATTTTGAACAACAACTATAATAGTAGACTTACTTTCTCCCCCTATACACAGTGGGTATATGGAGAAAGTATTGTTTTTTGTAAAAATATCCGAGTTTTAGTGGATATAGCTGTTTTGGGTATGAACCCACCTGAACCCAAAAAAGTGGTTTTCAAAATTATGTCCGTCCGTGTGTGTACAGACATACTGTACCACACCTGTGGACCGATGTTGATGAAATTTAAAATTTTGTATGTAGGCTACTAATTCATGGTATCTTCAGGCGATTTTTATCTCGTTTTTTGATTGTGATTTTTCCATAAAACCCATATAAATCGATTTTCTAAAAAACGGCTTTAACTATTTTGATAGAAATTCATTAGGTTTATAGCACTTAAGCAACTCACCCCCCCCCCCCCCATTGTTGTGAAAATCATGGTTCAAAGGCTATTGCAACTTTTGTGACTTTATCATAGTTAGCTATTTAAGAATTTTATTAAATTATTTATTAATAAATTATTTATTAAATTTTATTTAAGAAATTTATCACCCCCATGATAAAGGTTGTTGACATGCAAATGGGAGAAAGGATGTGTCAGATTGCTGATACTATTTATTTATTTAGCTCCTTTATACAATGGTTGAATGGTTCCTCCTTTAAAAACTGTAGTCTGTAATAGGCAAGTATGATTTTGAACCTTTTCCTGGTGATGTAATCTTGAGTGTTCATGAAAATTGTTATCTTTATCGATTGAAATTGTATGCAAAGCATTTAAGGCATATAATTACAATATTTAAAAATACATGAATAAAGATTCTTTACTATATCCAAGGCACTATGACTCCCTGAATAGGAAAGAGATATGTTAAGAGTCGAGTTCCATCTAGTGTTTGACCATGTCCCACCTGTCTGTGGCAGAGTGGACTGTTTGTGTGCAAGTGGATGGGATTGGTAGATTACTTTAGTGTTGCATCTGAAATCAGGCATTCTGGTACTTTTGGCTTAGGTATCCAAGGAGTCCAGTACACCAAAAACGGTTTTTATTAAAATACTAGCAAGAAAATTTTGTTGTGTGTGTTCAAAGGATACAGGAAATATTAAACAACTAGGATGAAAAGCTAATTAGTCAAATATCTCATCTGGTATTGAGGATTCAGTTTATATATTTGATTGTTAACAAATTATCAAGAAAACACCATGCTGGTGAAAACAAGAGGAAGGTTATCAAAAAATAAAACAATAATTTAAAAGAGAAATATATTTATAACTAACAGCCAAATGGAACAATATTTCATACCACAAATATTCAAATAGTAGGTTCATGTTGAAATTGTATATTCAGCATTATAATTGACATTCAACAAGTTAGAAACAATTTTATTTTTGTGACATTTTAATTGGTTGATAAATTTTAACTATTACTCACTTGGTATTTAACATACCAAACACATTATTACAAGCATACCTATTTACAAATTAGGCACTGGAAACCTTGCATGAATAATAAATAAACAGGACTTGTACCTCTGGTAACAGGAATTGTAGGAACATTTTCTCCATCTTCCTCTCCCGTCTCGCTCATTCCGCTTACCAGTAATAAATTATATCTACATGAAAATAGGACAATCACAGCAAATAGCGAAATAAGTTAAATAAGCTACCACAGTGTCCGAAAAACTAAAAGTCACTAACAAAAATAATTATAGTATTGTTATATCACATTACAAAACTAAACTAGTACACAAATTACGTTTTACAAAATTAGTTATTCAACATGAAAAATGTTTGCGAATTTTAAACATTTTAATTTTTTTAACTAGGTGCCTCCAGTTCATTTTGTCCATTTGATAAACTTAAAATATTACATTGTAAGTATTGAATAATACTTAATGAAACGTTATTTTAACAGTATAAAATCAAAATGTTTTTGCTCATCCTACATGCCAAATTAACAACGAAGTTTAGTAACTTAACGACTAAAATGGAAGGTAGATTAGTAACAATGTCAACAAACAGTGTTTTGCCTTGAGTGAACCCGGAATGAAATAGGGACTATCCATATCAGAACCATATTTCAACAGACTTACGATAATAGCTACTTTCCTATGTGCTAAAAACCACAGTTTTAGAAAATAAAACTAATTATTCTGTGAAATCATGGCCTTCACCTAATTTGGAAAAGAAGCCAAGGTAAAGTTAATCAAAAATTTATAATTTTCTTTGACCTCAATATGCTCTAGTGGAAAGAGGTATGCGAGTAATTTAAAATTTGCACTTGACATAATAATAATTCTTGTAATTTTCAGTGCCAGTAAAACAGATTAAATTGTATGTGTCTTTTGTTTTGGGAAAAATAGTAAATCAAAATATATCGGCACATTTTAAGCCAATAGTTAGTGTTTCCCAAATTCGCTTGATAGGTTGAAAGAATGTGTTTTAAATAGTTTATGCTCTTTCTGAAGCTACAAAAAACTGAACTAAAATGTCCAGAAAATTAGAATTGAAACTGGGAAACAACTGAGGGATTGCCTAGCTGTCAGTAGGTTGCCAGTTTGATCCTGAGAAAAAACAAAAAACTCTTGATGGTTCAAAACTGGACCCAGCCAAACTTGATTATTGGACTTTCAATAATTGTTCCTAGTTTAATACACAGCTTAACTTTTTCAGTAAAATAAGCTACACTGGTCATCACACTTCATTATAAACTCATCAGATTAAAATAATAAAGTTGCTTAAGATTTTAACAGCACAAAGAATGTTGCTGTTTTTGGGATTACTCACATACCTCTAGGCTTGACTGCAGATTACTCGGGATAGCTCATATCTATAAAGTACTTAAATTAAAACAGGAATACTTGAAGCATACATGTATATGTTGGTTATGAAGTATCTATGGATAAATACAGTTTAGTAAAACATATATGTATACAAAACTTGGTAGAAACGCCAAACATATAAAACTATAAAAAAATAAATTTTCATCACAAATGAAAAATTTGAAAAAAGTTCTGCATCAGCTAGGGAGCTTGACAATTAAATCATAGACCAAAGACGTTTTAGCAAAACAGATGCATTGTAAAATAAACTAAACAATAACTAATACAAGTGCTACAGAATGAACAAATAAAATTACAACATAAAAAAATCATACAGGTGAACTGATACAAAATGGCACAAAACAACTTAAAAATAAACATAAAGAGGTAGTATCGGATTACAGATTCTCATAGCAACTATGAACTAGTCGGCATCTAATGCCTCAGTCGTATGTTTTCAGGGTAACCCAGTGGTTGGGAGATTCCATAAATTGAGGTAAATAATAAAACATTCTCATTTTGAACTTAGAAAAAACTAAATATACTATTTAGTATTATTTTCATTTTACTAACAAAACATTGTCAGTAAATTTTTTTTCTCAGAACTTATTGAATATGTAGGATAACCATGTCTATAATTGAAAGGCAGTTTTTTCCACTTGTGTGTAAAAGTAGCTAAAAATGACAAGTTAGTTGCCAAGCTTAAACTACCATTTAAGTCAATAGTGTAAAAGAAAAATAGAGGGCAAGCAGAAATTTTCTCTTAAGAATTAAGAAGGAATCTGACATCAAAAGCCTGTTACCCGCTTAAAGTATCAAAGCACCTATCAACACCTATGGATGGTTTAAAGTTTAATAAACAAACATTTATATTGCAGGAAACCCATTGCATTGATTAACAACCAATGTAAATTGGGCTCAATGAGTATAAGAGAACACACAAACGTGTTTGTTTGCTATAGTAAAATAAACTCACAAAATAAGAAAAAATACCCCCGCCGCAGCAAACCTGCCGACTAAGCGAATTTCCATTTGTCTGAATTGATTTTCAGTTAAATATATTTTAATAACATTAGGTTTAACGAGTACCTAGGTTTGCTGCTACAAGGAAACTAATATAGTGTGTTTTTGAGTAAAATATTGATAGCTTAGTACAAAATAAACAAATTTGCCAAGTTTGATCAAAATATATCCATAAACAAGCAAACTACAACATTTGACAATGTTCTCCATAAGAATAACATGGGAATTTTAAATTTACAATTTCTTTAATTTTCTCCATTACCAATAATCGAACAAAAATACTTTTATATACTAAATTATTTGTTTTTTTAAGCTCTTTAAAAAGGTCTAAAGAGAAATCGGGAAATTTTGTGTTTTGAGGGTCAAAAGTGAGAAAAACCAATTTTTACCCCATAAAACCCCCCGCAAAGCCCCGTTCTCATGGTCCGATCGTGCTGGTTCACGAACTCATTCAAGTTTATCCCGCTTTACACCTTTAAACCAAATTTCATCAAAATCGGACAAAAATTACTCAAGTTATCGCGTTCACGGACGTATATATATAAGTCTATATATATATATATATATACATATATAAAAATTTGAACGAATGGTGTTTTTGGCCTCTGGGGACATCAAAATGAAAAAGTAAATCGGTCCCGGGTCTAGGTCTTACCGTGCCACCTACGGTAATAGCTACTTCCCTATAGGGAAATTCGCTAAAAGGATTCCAAATTATACACAAAATTATCCTTAAATAAGAAATTTTAGATATTAATGTATTCTCCATAAGAAAAACGACATGAGAGATTACTTGTTGCAGTTAACACCATTTACGGGTCAAGATTTTTGAATTTTTACAAAAAAATGTTAGCAAAAAAAAAAGTAACAATTGGGGCAAAATATCTCCCTCTGGATGGTTGGATTAAACTGATTCTCGATCTCATTTACGTGTTGTTCACTATTTTGATCATCAAATTCAGAGAATTTCCACAAGTAATATAAAACAATTTGAACTAATGGTACTCTTGGCTCTGTGGCCCTGACACAAAAAAGTATAATGGTCCCTGTCTAGCTGTTAATATGGAGACTTAGGTGATAGCTATTTCTCAAAAGACAATTTTCAAATATACAAACCAAATTGATATGAGGTGTTGATAACTTTACAGTTAGTTATTATTTATTATGTATTTTATATTATTTATGTATTTTAAAATAAATATTGATACTGGAAAATTCAACAACTGAAAGGCTTAATGTTTTAAGTGAAATGTGTCTCTTAAGTCATGCATTAAAATTTTAAATAGGAAACAATTTGGCTTATCCTTTCAATTGTAAAAAACAAGTGTTTAGTTGGTTTAGTGACAGTGAAGCAAATTCTTTTACAACATCTATTAGTAAGAAATGTAAGACAGAAGGAATTGAACCAAAAATCCTCAGTACAAAAGGTTGTCAATAACTCATTATTTACTCAAAAGTGCATCATGTTGTCTTACCCTCCTAAAAAGGTGAGAACTTATAACTCTCAATTAGCACTACTCAAAGATAGCTTTAAGACAAAGACTGTATTTAAAATAATCCAGGCTGCCAAAAATTTAACGATATTGCACAGAAATTATTTTATGCTTTTGAATTAGATTTGTGGGGGGAGGGGTACCAGAAATATAATAATCTGGCAAAAAACTGGTCAAACAACAACAATTGTTAAGTGTAAATTTTTTCCGTTCACTACCAAAAACTACTTTAAGGCCCAATGTATGATCCAAATTTCTTTGCAGTCGTTAAAAGATTCACTCAACATATCACTCTGAAACCAATATCTCATAAGGCAACAGGTCACTGGAAAACATGAAGGCAGTTTTGGTCCCGTCGGGTACTAAAATATTTTACTGCCCCTCGATCAATCACCTACAATCTACATCAGACTTTTGTACATTTATTGTCAAGCGGCCATTTCACTTAAAACATTGTCCCCTCAGTCGTTGCTATGCCCGAGTGCCATTAGCGCACGCACAGCTGCCATGAGTGTGTCTAGCGAGCGCTGTGTGTCGTGTCCTGTGCGCACTAGCTCGTTGTGACTCGCTTGCAGCTCCTCTAGTCTCCTCTGAAGTTCACTAGCCTCGCACTGCCTCTCTGATAACTGAGACTGTAGCCTCGAACACTCCTCTCGTAACACTCCTTCCTCCAGTGACCGCTCTGTCAACAGCCAGAACTCAATTAGAAATAATATATTTACTTATTATATTATGACTAAGGCCCTTATTATATTATCTTATAAATTTGTTTCCATTCTATTATTGTTATAAAATAGAGACTTTACACAATCTAATTTCTAGTTCATTACATAAAACAGTCAATTGAGTTTAGCCCTATGGGGCACTGAGCCCTAAAGAAAGAGCCTATGATACACAGCATTTACGTTTTATCAAATTGAAACTAAATATAATAGTACAGTTAGCTACTAGACAGCTGCACAAAACACTTACTGCAGTGAGTTCTCCCTTTGTGAATCAAACCCAATGTTATTTTACAAAAAATGTCATCAGTAAAACACAACAACTGAACATTGATAACAATAAACCAAATAATGAAAGCGAAGTTGCAACATATTAAAAGAGGCTTAAAGATAAAAATTAGTTTTTTAAATTTTGTGTTTATAATTAGATTTGAAATTTTGTAAAACATGCTACAACCAGATACAACAAGGTAAGCATACATGCAACAATAGATATTTAGAGGCCGTTTGTCACTCACCAGTTTGATATTGTTGATAAGCGTACAGAACACCCTCTAGCCCGGGCCACCGGACACAGCTGTAGTCTGGGGAGTTGACTCTGGCCTCTGAGCAGTATTGCACGAGTGGAGTCACAGCCTTGCGTCGTCTGCGCTCAGCCAACACCTCCTGCCATATCTGCTCTCTCTCTGCCACACAGCAAACAGCACATGCAATCTTAGACTGCTAATATACCAATGAAGCATACACATCTTTTAGAAATGAGGTTTACAATTCAACAAAGAACTGCTGACCACAAGGCATGATAATGATTTTAATCCTTAAATGCTGTCAGTGACAGTACTCCAATTTGTGTTCAGTTTTAAGTTTTGTGTTCCTTGCGCAAGAGTGGGACTCTTTCTGATTCAGGCAACCCTGCTATCCTAAACACATAAAAAGTAATTTAGAGAGTTGTAGTCACCTTTACGTTGGTCATGAGTGAGCGGACACAGTTGCAGGGAGGTCATGTAGGAAAGTTTGTTGTGCGAGTGTGGCAGTGAGCGGGGGGACTGACGCGGGTGGGGGAGACTAAGTGATGGCGGGGGCCCTTTCTCTCCCACCTGCTCATCCCCCTCCACCACCACATGTGGCAGAGACTTGCAGCGGGATAACTTTGTCAACTCCAACTCTGCAACATACGAAGCACCAATACACCTTTAGGTTGGTGTACCAATCTTATATTTGGGACACTTTCTCCCATAAGAACAAGATTAGACCCCATATCATAGGGAAAACCTTTTTAACTTAACACTATATTACACATGTCTGAAATAATCCTGAGTTGATTGTACTGTTGAGAAGTAAGAACTGAATTTATAGTTCAAGTGTGATTTATTTAGAAGTGGTCCTAGACTGACACATACCATTCCTAGTAGTGAGGGTGGTGAGTCCGAAAGTAGCGAGGAAGCGTAGTTTGCGAGGAGAAGCGTCTAGTTTGTCTGGAGGACCCTTGGTCAACACCAGGTTGGGACTAAGGTCCTCACAATCACTGCCTCCTACACTGTCCAGCCGGCTCTTGATCTTCTACATGAAACACAGTAGGATTTAATATACTTTTAGGAAATTTTACATACATCATATTTATTGCATCCCAAACTTAACTTACCTTTCAGTCTGAAACTATGGTATTATTTTTGTTAGAACGACATGCACAAATTTTCTTTTGATTTAGAACATATTTTTGTTATTTCTCAAAACATCCACCTTCTATTTGAGTAAATATCACTTGGACAATAGAATATATTCTTATGAAGATATAAAATTATGATTGAACATAAATGCATTTTTAAGGATTTAGGCATATTTAGAACACCATGGTTTGTTCTTATACAGTTAACCTCTATAGGCTTATTAATATTAGAAATAAATAACAAATAATGATATAAAAACATGAACAATAATTACAATAGAGATATGGAACCAAAAGGGTAATTGATCAACAACAATATTAGATTACTGCAAATAATACAGAAATAAGCCTCTAACAGAAGTAAAGGTGACGTATGATGCCTTACTATGTATTTTTTACTATTTAGTTAGGGTTCAATTTAGATACTGAAAAGAAAAAAAGAAATAACATATCAAATTTTAAAACGAAGATATTTATAACTCATTCATCACAATGCCAACTTACTAAGTGTCAGATTACCTAATGCATTTAATTAATTTATAAGTAATTATATTACTTAACAACAAATAAATTCATACATGAGTTAGACGGTTGCAGGACATTATCCTAGGGGGCTCGGCTGGTTCAGCGACAGTGACAGTGACCACAGGCGTTGATACAACAGCAGTGGCAGTGGACGTGACAGCAGACACGAGGTTAGTGACGTCCAGAGGGCGAGGTGGGGGTGCAGGCGGGGGGTGGGGACTCGGGGCTGGTAACTGTTGAGTGACTAGTGATAACGGCTGGGGTGAAGGCAGGGGAACCACCGTACAGTTCGGCGGAGAAGGCTTTTTGACTGGTTTAACAAAATCTTCAAATGGCCGGACAAAATGAGGCTGAGGCACCGTTCTTTGCGGATCACAGGCTATTGTTATTGGCGGCTTCCTAGCTGAAACAATTTGATCCGTCTTAGCGACAACAGTGTCAAGTATACACACATATTAACATTTCCTTACATAAACAATATATACAGACAAGATAAGTTTGTATACACAATACCTTTGGATTGGCCTTAAACCATACCAACATAACAAAACTAATAATGAAATAACTGAAATTTCAGAGATAAATTACAAAATTCATAGGTCATTAGTTATAAGTCAGGGTTTTTAAAAACTTATCGAAATAGTAGCATTCTTTGAATGTACAAGTTTGTTAAAAGCAAATTACTGTCCCAACAACTGTGTAATCTGCTACAAGTCATACACTACGATTCACCTCCAAGTATGGGACATGTAGTGTTGAATGTGATAAAACTACTCAAACTTATAATAGTTAGTAGGCTACCCCATTACTCACTTTAACAGATTTAATAACTGATCAATTGAGTACATTGTTAATAAGTAGCAGTTTTATTATTTATGAGCCTTTTTAGCGAATTTCCCATATAGGGAATAAGCTATTACCGTAGTACTAACGGTAAGACCTGGACCCGGGACCGATTTTTTTTTCGTTTTGAGGTCCCTAGAGGTCAAAAACACCATCCGTTCAAATTCATATATATATATATATATGTGTCCGTTAGCGCGATAACTCGAGCAAAAATGATCCGATTTTGATGAAATTTGGTACAAACGTGTAAACCTACGTTTATTCGAACAAGTTCGCGAACCAGCATGATCAGACCATGGGAACGGGGGTTTATGGGGGCTTTTATGGTTTTGCAGGACATTATCCTAGGGGGGAAAAACCCATTTTTGACCCAAAAAACATACAATTTTGCAATTTCTTTTGAAACTATTTTGTAGAGCTTAAAAAAACCAATAATTTGGTATATTGAAGCGTTATAATGCGCCTAATGGTTACGGAGAAAATTCCAAAAAATTTTAAATTTAAAATTCCCATGTTATTCTTATGGAGAATAAGTTAACTGTTGTAGTTTGCTTGTTTATAAACATATTTTGCCCAAATTTGGAAAATGTTTTTATTTCTTACTAACTATTAACATTTTACATAAAAAACACTTTTACCCTCCCTGTTGCAGCAAACCTAAGTATGTTTTAAACTGATTCTATTTAAATAGGGAATAAATTTGATATTTTTAAGGAGACATTTTAGTGTAAATCCATTCAGGGAAATGGAAATTCGCTTAGTCTGCAGGTTTGCTGCGGCGGGGGTATTTAACAATAGATTAATTTTGAACCCTCAGATTGAACTAAACATCTAAAAAAATGCATTGAATGTCATCAACCAAATATAATGTACATCTCTTCTTTACTGTCAATGATTGATCATTTGATTTCGCCAATGACCGCAGACAATGTTCACAATGTTTTAACAGTCGATTTTATAATGCACTAACGAGGTTTGAGAGCGTTTAAGCAAGCTAATACATTGCTGATTAATTGTAAATTCCTTATAAATTTGTCTTAAATTCACATTACAACAAAATAACACTAAAATCAGGTTTTCATAGTGGAATTTCAAAATTCACGAATAATTCCCGTTATACAAATGCACACATAATTCCTGGTTTTCCTGGTCTGTGGCCACCCACTATGCTTTTGAAGCAAACCAAGAATCAAATTAAATGCATGTGTTCTCTCCTTGACTCAAGCCCAATAGCAATAATTAGGTTGTGGGATCTAATGAGATGAAAGTAAACAGAATAGTACTTAACTTCAACAAATCTTTTCTTGTCTATAAAAAGACAGTGTACAGTCAATAGTTCAATACTCTTACTGGTTTACCATATTCTGTCTGCTGTTGCCCAAACCAGAGCCTTTAACCACATAACGACGTGGGGCCCGTGGTGACTGGCTGATGTGTTTATGAATCGTCATTACCAACCTCTTAGTTCTACTCTAGTTGCCGAGGTTCGATACCTGAGAGTTCAGGCTGCTGTTGGCTGTGGGACGGAGAACCTCGTGGACTCTTCTTGTTCTTCTCTCTTCTCTCCCTCTCTCTCTCTTGCTCCCTCTGCCTATGTTCCTCTTCTAGTTTTAACCTACAAATGGAAAAAATAACTGTAATTAAATTACTGACAACAAAGGAAAATGTGTTGAAAGTGCATGTGCCTATATTATGAGTTTTAAGGGGGATAAAAAGTACAGAATTTGATCACTCATCAACAGAAAAAAGTAGTACAGTTTAAGTATGTAATATTTAAGTACGATCTAAAAAAGATACAGTCTATTGAAATTGTGGGCATACACAATTGTGGATGGGGGGGGGGGGGGTCGAACAGATTATTGTGGACATTTCCCACTATTAGTAAAACACACATGTTTTCTTGATGTTAAATGATCTGGAACCTGATTCAATCCTCAGGTGCGAAACATTACAAGAACAGCACACAAACCCAGACAAAGTTGGGAAAACAATAAAACCACTAATCTGTTTTCACCACAGTAGACTCCCTCCTATCCGGACACCTTTTAACCGGACTACACTCGGCAGAAATTACATCTCTATTACCGGACAATTTTTCTCAGCACATCGGTTTAACCAGAATAGATCTGCAGGAAGTGGGCGGTACTGAGACGACTGTTCTCGTGGGAAAGATTTGAGACCAGTGATCTTATGTGATTCTTACATAATAATCATTATTGGCTAATGCAGTATGCATTTAAATGGTCTGTTTTAGTTAATTAATTAATTAATTTAGTCTAATTAATTCATCTTTCATCTCAGGTCTTTTCCCAGATAAATTAAAAATTTCAAAAGTTATCCCTATTTTTAAAAAAGGTGACCGTAAAGATATAACTTGTTATAGACCTGTTTCATTGCTATCATCCTTTTCAAAAATATTTGAAAAGATAGTATACAATCAGTTAGTAAACTTTTTAGAATCGAATAATTTGTTAGATAAAGAGCAGCATGATTTTCGGCAAGGGAAGTCCACAATAACTGCTGCAGTTGAATTTATTGAAAACATAATTGATGCAGTTGATAAGGGTGAAAGGGTGGTGGGTATTTTCCTTGACCTCTCCCGTGCTTTTGACAGTGTGGCACACCCTGTTTTAATTGAAAGATTAAAATCACTGGGTATTCAAGGAAAAGAGTGTGCTTGGTTTTCCTCTTATTTATGTAATAGGCATCAGTTTGTTGAAATGAAATATCTAGATTATGGTAATTATTGTAATTATTTAAGAAGCTATGTCTGTGAAGCTCAGGTGATTAAGTATGGAGTACCTCAGGGATCCATCCTGGGTCCATTACTTTTTTTGTGTTACCTGGATGGTCTGCCTAAGAGTACTAGCTTCAGTTCGATGTCACTATATGCAGATGATGCTAATTTAATTGTTAAAGGAAATTCCAGTTCTGATATTGAGCTCTCAGCTCTCAGCCAATTTGGACTTAATGAGTATTCAAAAATTTTTAAATCAAAATAACCTTCTATTAAATACAAGCAAATCAATGATAGTAAGTTTCTCCACAAAACAAAATAAAATAGCTCTGGATCCAAAAATCAAAGTTTGCAATAACATAATAAATAAAGCAAATCAGACAAAATTTTTAGGACTTTTCATTGATCGACATCTATCTTGGAATGATCATGTTGATAATGTAGTGAAAAAGATGTCATCAGGAATATATGCACTGTGGCAAATGTAAAAAATATCTGACCTTACAGTGCTGAAAACAATATATTATTCTTTAATACACTCTCATCTGGCATACGGAATTTGTATATATGGAGCTACCTCAATATATAATTTGGACAAAATTCTGATAAAACAAAAAAAAGCAATACGAATCATGTTAGGTTTAAAAAGCACAGAGAGTGTCGAAAACTTATTTAAAGATCTTAAAATTTTGACAGTTTACAGTCTTTATGTCTTAGAAACAATAAAGTATGTCAAAGAACATGAAAGTGATATATTTTTTGAATCCAAGCATCATTATGATACCCGAAATAAAATTATTTTTGATAAACATAATCTGCATTTTTATAAAAACAAAACTAAATATATGGGCACTAAATTTTTTACTCAGTTGCCAAATTTAATTAGAAATGAGCAAAATTACAATAAATTTAAAAAATTGCTGAAAGAATATCTTGTTAATAAAGCTCTCTATTCTTTTTCGGAGTTTCCTTAAGTGAGGGCTCCACTACTGGTTGCCTGGGTTTTATATATAGTTTAAATATGTTGTATTTTAGCTATATAGCATGAAAGTATGGGATTTTTAGTTATATGTGACTCTATTCTGATGCTGCAATGTATTCATACGAATAAAGTTTATTTTGACTTTGACTTTGAGTTTTAACATGTTTTTGGGGACTTCGGCTTAATCGGAAAACCCATTATTCGGACTGGCCTTGGTCCCGAGGAGTCCGGATAAGAGGGAGTCTACTGTATCGTGATAGAAAATGTCTGCAATATGTTAGATAATTTTAACTCACCATCACAAAAAATGAACTAAAGAAATATGAAAAATGAATGAAATAAAGAACTTTGTAGTTAGTAAAATATCACATATCCTACTATTTTACTTAACAGTAATGGTAATAAATTGTTTGTACACTGTTATTTAGCTAGTTATTACATTTACAATATTCAGTTGTAAATAGTGGAACTCTTATATAGAATCATACAAATAATTCAGTCATCAATCTTACTAGTCCTAGGGTTTAGAAAGGTAAAACCCCACAATTTGTAATTTCTGGAATTGTGATCACAATGTTTAAACCATAGGCAAATAGGCTTGTTGTTTTCATAAGTTTTTAGGCCTGTTATGTAAAACCAAAACACTATTTATATGTGAAATATGAACACAAAAAGCCATTGAGCTTACGATTGGTTTGTCAATTGGTTCTAAGCGCTATATAACAAATTTATTCTAGCACTCATCCTATGCTAAAGAGAAACCTTTAGCAAGATACGTACCTTTCATGCATAGCAGGCGTCATGAGTGTTAAGTGTGAAGGCAGTCCGTACAGAGGCGCAACGTGAGGATATGAAGAAAACAACGGAGGAACTCCATGGTACATCTGCTCTTCTAATCTGGAAACAAGCTCTAGTTTAGTAAAACCTACGTACGTACGTGATGCTACATTACTGAATTTAAGCACTTGTTAATCGGATTGCATTCATTTATACTGTGTTCGCTGTCAATTTTACAGTCCTGTGACCTAATTCACATTTGAATGATGTTGTACCATTATTATGGAACTTGATAAAAAAATCTTCACAATATAAGACACAAATTTTAAAATAGTTATTTACTCACCAGAACAAAAACATTGTTATGTTTTTTAGTCTATCAGACAGAACGAATACAAGAATATTAAAACAAGATGTCGATTGCAAAATCTTGATTTCTGGAAAGAATTTAACAGGAACATTTAGTGTAGAAATTTTACACTCACTTAGGGTATATTTTAAGCACGAGTATGATGTTTTGTAAAGACTCTTTCAAATTTAACCTGACAATGACAAGAAAGCTATAAAAGCTTCAAATTACAATAGCCTATCAAAACAAAAATAATCCTACAGTTATATTCACGGTTACGGAACACAATTATTTTAACCACTACAGAATTTAAATTTACCTGTAATGATGTAAGGGATGATGTGGCGGGGGGTAGAGCGCAGGATGGTGATGGTATGGAGGGTAGTCCAGTGGGGAGTAGTGGGGGTGCGGGGGCACACGGGGCTCCTCCGGTCTGTAAGGCTGAAAACCACTCCGCTGCTCACTACTTCTATCCTGAAACACATCAGTGTGATTAAAACAATTGTTTTGACTTTCGGTGGAGGACGTTCTCCTGAATCACATTACTAACCACCCTGCCAGACGGCCAATAGTATGTATACAGCAAAACTATTATATTCAAATTAAAAATTAAAAAATATCTTTTTAATATCTATAATTTTTACAATGTCCTAAGTAGTTAAGAGGACGTTTTTATGAAGATTAATGTTAAATAGGCCTATAGTCCGGGAAGGGTTAAATAAGCTATCAATCAAAAACAAGACGAGTAACAATTTTTCCTCAATTGTTTACTACTTGAATACTGTTAAAGAGCAATCCAACATATTTGTAGCAATTGTGAAGTAGAATTTCAAAAGATTCTTACATTGATAAACATCAACACTTGGATTAACAGAAATTTGGAGTGAGCCAATGTAGTATTAAACAAGAATGTTTGCAATGTGGCTGTAATGCTGTAACTCACCTTATCAGGTAGTTTAACCGCAGACGTCGTAGGAGGGGAGGGACCTCTGACTAGGGGGGGAGGAGGCGGCCGCTTCGGAGAAGCTCGACCTTCCACTTCAATATCCCGGTCTGTAAGCAAACAAAAAACAATATAGATTGTCACAAAATGTTTTCGTGACAAGTACATCTCAATCATTCGACACACATCCTTCACTTATGTGTAAGTCCTTAAAATAAGTGTTAGTGTAACATAATACTAACCTAAAAAGTAAAATTATTCTCTAATTCGGAATTAAAAAACAAATGCAGTTGAGAAGACAGAAAAGACATACCCGAGGCAGGACCAGCTTGCTTAGCCAGGTTGCGTAGAGCCGCAGCAAACGACCGGCTGCCCCCACCTACACTGACTGGAGGTCCCACAGTGGGGGCTAGTGGAGTCCCTCCACCTCTTGCCACCTTACCTCCACCATGTTGGGCTGGAGCCTTGGGCACCCCTGCAACAAGGAGAGTGTCATCAACTTAGACGCAAAAACACACAGTAAAACCTCACTAACTCAACAGTAAACAGCTGACAGGTCGCATGTGTAGCTGACTTTTTCTTACTATTGTGTTCGACTCTTCAAGTTTTAATTGTTGAGCAATCTACATATTTTTTTTTTAAATGTTTCATTCTATATGTAAAAATGAGGTTAGGATACAGATTATAGAACCAATAGCAATGCCAAGGGTTCACAGATCCCTAGATCAACCACAGATCGCTAATTAATATCGGAGATTACTATGGTGTATGATCACCTTTCTCATCTTAGTTCTACTTCTTCACACGGGAGGGAAGTGATTTGCCACATTGATTTTTTACGGAATCGACTACGACTGCTTCAGTTTAAAGCTATTAATCAATTTTCAAATTTATTTTTTAGTGACCATCTTGAATGGAAAATCTTACAGTGCAACTACATTTTCACAGAAAGATTCACAATAGAATTTTTACACAGTTTCTTGGTAATGAAAATAACATAAAAGAGGGAAATTTACAAAAAAGACTTGTCTTAAAACAGTTGTGTGTTACAGCTGTCAGTTTCCAGCAAATATCTTGTGCTGTAAAAATGGTTGAAACCAGGGAGGAATTTTCAATCTCAAAACTGAAATTTAAAAAACAAATCCAAGATCTCAAGACCAAATGCAAAAATCTTTTAGTTGCCTGGTCAAGGATACCAAAATAAAGGTGTTAATAAAATTTATTTTATGAAATCAAAACTAAAAGAAATTGACTCCTGACCCTAACATAATAACAACATTAATATGTGACTAATACATTTAAAAACCTCAAAACCATAATTTTTGGTTAGCAACAAACACTAAAATAAATCAAACTCCCGACACTAACATAGGGAGTAACACACTCCCTAGTGAATAACACACACATACCTATTAGATCATTGAAACATTTAGTGAGCAACATTTATAACTGTATGATCTTACTAATATTATAAATGTGAAAGTTTGTGTGTTTGTTTGAAGTTCAATCACGCATAAACCACTGGACGGATTGGGCTTAAATTTGGCATGATGATAGCTTACATTCCCGATTAACATATAGGCATATTCTTATCTCAAAAATCCTTTCGGGCCCCGCCCCAGTGGCTCTGTAATTCCCCATGTTAACCTTATGAGTATTCATATTTAAAGGGAATTAAAGAATTCAGTCAGCTGTTTCAACTAAAAAAGTTGGTTCTATGATATGGAAAAGCATTAAAAAGTTATAAGATTTACCAACAGGGCGCAGCACTATATTTTTTTGCATTTATGAAAAAGCTAATCTATCTATCTATATATTAATAGGCAAGCATGTTTCTTTAAAACCTTTTTTCTCAGCTCGTGTGAATCGTAGGGAAAATCTACGCATACCGTTGGAAAGCTATTTTCCTGTAGGTGTGCAGAATCCCTTTATAAATTTAAATAGGCTCAAAGATAAGCACAAAAAATGAGTTTAAAAATTTGAAAAAATTAACATGGATCTTATGCGTTGCTATGCTGGTTACGACATAACAACGAAATATAAACAGAAAATCAAAACAAATGGAGGAAACTCCAATCACATGTTTTATTTACAGTGTGGGGTGAAAATAGATAAGTGAGTACATTATACATATTTTTGGTCGAGTTTCGACCACTGGACGACCTCTCGTACTTATTTAATACGCAAGCAGGTTTTTTGTGACAATTACTCCTCCGAAACTACTAAACCGATTTACATGTTCTTGGTGTAATTGGAAAGAGCGTAACGTGAAGTTGTGCAGGAAACTTTCTTTTTAGGGAAATAATTAGAGAGTGAGGCCCTGGGGCCCTTTAAAGTTTCATATTTCTCCATAAGGATAACATGGGAGATGATTTTTATTTGCAGAAACATATGTTTGTTACTTGAAAATAGTCAAAGTCTACTACATAATAATTGCTGTGTGTTATGACTGTTAATGTATACTACATTTCAATCAAGGATTGTGTACCTTAAAGTTTACCCATAATGGATCTTAATAGTTTATTTTAATGATGGGAATAGTAAAATTTAGTTGAGAATAAGTTACCATGATTTAGAAAACTTTACTATAATAATTTTTGTATTTAAAATCACAAATCTTTGACATTATTAAATCATTTTAAACAAAACAGCTGATTGACAAATCAAACAAATCATCTACTTCATGTGAATAATGTTGTTACACAAACATAGATTTTTTTAACCAATAACTTGAGTTTTTTTTACTTGTGGGTGTATTTTGAGTTTGCAGTTATGAAAGCACCGAGAGCCAAGTAACTTTTATCTAATTTTCTTTATAAACTAACAGTATTAAGGAATTAGTACTTGAACTTGATAAGTCAGGTAATTTACTGTCAGTATGCTAAGGGGAAGAAGAGTGGGTCCTCGAAAACAGACGAAGGCGGAGACACCCATCTAGAAAATCCAACTGAGTTTTTAAATATAGAAGTCAGTGGATTACCAAGACACAGATTAGACTAATAAAAGGGGGCACTGGTTTTACTCATGCGGAACATTAATACATCAAAAAGGGCCTCATTAACGGCACAAGGCTTCATGTGATCAGAATGGTTAACAACTTAATAGAATGTAAAGTCTTAACTGGGACAAGTGAGTGGGGACATATTTTGATTTCGAGGATAAAAATGTGCCCGTCTGAAACAAACTTAAATCTTTGGCATTTGCAGCACAAGCCCTTTAATTAAAGATCAGCACTGTTCTTACCCAGACCAATTTCAGTCATGAGCAACTATATTGTATGTTGTTTTAAGTAAGGCTACATCTTTTAATAGGATACGCATATTCATTACGGAAAATTCTGACCAGGGCAATCTTCCTGAAGGTAACTTTAAGACTAAAATCGTAGTATTCATGGTGCTTTTTGATAAAAATATTGTTTTTTTAGAGTTTATTTTTAAAGGTATATTCTTCAAACAGCATTGTAAGACTCTCAAAATATGCTTCATAAAGTTGGTTTGATACAGTTGGTCATTGGTTTGATATAGGCCCTAATAAAATGTTTTGTTGAATGTGTTTTAAAAATCTTTAAAAAATAACTACCTTATAACACCCTTGAACTGGAACACTTATTAATTTACTAAATATAATACACATACAGCTAGAAAATGGCTGGACTGCTTCCTTTCTAAGGCTTTATTATTACTGTATTTAATTTTTGACGTCAAGTCAATGTATTTAACACGATGAATTTGTATTCTAAATTCATATGTTATTTTGCGGGGCATTGAGCCGCACATGTTCACTAGTTTGAACTAAGCAGCAACAAAAAACTGTGATTCGCAATGAGAACTGTCAAAGTAGAATTATTTACAGTTATGTTTATGTTTTTCATTTCATGAATAATTTGTGATATTTTGCGAATTGTTGATAATTTATTTTTCTCTATTGTTAAGGTTAAGTGGTAGAACAATGGCTATGGTAGATGTGTAATACTATAGAATACTGTAAATTTAAAAAAACAAATTTTATCAAACTGTGTCCTCCCTTATTGCAAATGCAAAGCTTGAGTATAACTGCAATAAGCATTTTATACTTATATTCCAACCCCGTACGAAGGACGGGTACTCTGCTAGTTATCTATATTTATAAAAGAGGAAGTTTGTATATATATATATATTTGAACGTTATGGACTCCGAAACCGCTCGACAGATTGTAATGAAACTTTCAGGCATTATTAAGCATTATTTAAAGATGGTTTGTGAGAAGTTTGGTGTATATACATCAAAAGGGCTCCGCCCCAGTGGCTCTGATGTTTCCCATGTTAACCTTATGAGTACTTATATTTCAATGGAATTAAAGAATCTTAACAGCTGGTTCAACTAAACAATTTGATTCTGTGATGTTCAATAGCATTAAAAAGTTAATAGGGTGCAACACCATTATTTTTTTTTTTAACTTATGACAACAACTAATTTGTAACCAAAAGGTGAGTTAGCGAAGCGAACGAACTTCAACCTGGAGGCAAGTTAGCATAGCGAACGAGCTCCAACCTAATGGTGAGTAAGCGTAGCAAACGAACTTCAACCAGGACGTGATTGAGCGATGCGAACGAGCTCATCTTGAAAATGAACAAGCATTTGACATAAAACCACATTAGGACAGGACGACGTCTGTCGGGCCAGCTAGTTTATTATAAATATGAAACTGTATTGTACACTGTTCCACTATTCATATCATAACCAAAACTTATCCCAAAGTAATTTATGGTTTTGAGATTTGAATTTCGATTTTGACACGTTTTACTTTACAGAAACCCCTAATATGCTGATACAAATTTCAAAATGGTCATTCTATCAAACATCCTAACCACAATATATAGTAAATAGGATTGTACAATTATAACACATAAGACAATCAGATTCAAACTGTTATACATTATTTTTGAAAATTAGTCTTCTTGCAACATTCACAGGAATCAGAAGGAAAGAGGTACCGTTATGCTAACAACGGTTATTATGCACTATGCAGGTCCTACTACTTAGTACTTAGTTTCTAACCACAGTAGCCTACGAAGATGACATTTCATCAATCACTTGCCTGGATAGTACATGTAAGGCAGGTTGACCGGTGCATTGTTAATTACTGGCTCAGGGATCGGAGGACGCAGGTTTAAGTCCATTCCGAAATAACCGAATCGATTGTCCATTTTGTCTTCTGATGTTAGTATCCAGCATTAAATACACTAGTTTCAATGTGTGTAATTACTGTCTCATTCCCCACTTTATCACAGTACACTCACAATCTAGTCTACACCTGTTTAAACTTCTATTTACTCAGATGTTGAAAATGATTAGAGGCTAAAATTTAAACTGCGACAAATCAAACTGTAAACACACAATTGAAAATTGCCATGAAATATAGTCGCTCCTAGAATGTGTCATGCAATAGTAATTAGGTACCAAACCAATAATGATATTTTGCTCACAATATTATAA